CCAGTCTTCTTGCAGTACTTGCAGAAGAGTCTTTTCTTGTCTGGTGGCGCTTGAGCGTAAAAGGCGATCTTTTCCTTCTTGTTGCCTCGTTCGTTGTACAGGTCGATTTCCTTCTGCTCGGAGAGAAGCGTGGAGCAGAGGGCAGTTTCGCTGAGGGTTCCTTGCGTGCGAAGGAGTGCCTTGCATTGGCGCCAATCCGGGCTCAATCCAGCGAGGATGATGGTGACGAACATATCGTCAGGGAAATTTCCGCCGCTTTTCCTGAATTGATCTCTCAGGTTCCTGCAGCGGTTGATGTATGGGCCGGCCTTTTCGCCGGGAAACATCTTGACGTTGTTCAGCTGGTTGAGCAGGCGACTAAGTGTCACCGAATCTGTTGCCATGTGGCAGGTGCGCAGGTGTTCCCAGGACTGTTGCGCGGGCGCCCATTCGTTCTTGAAGGGGCGGATGCTCAGCTGTTCTTCAGGCGACAGGTTTCGTATCAGGACGGTGAAGGCCAGGAGTGATTCGTTGTAGTACTGACTTTTCTCCTGAGGTGAGCCATTGGTCGGAAATGCATACGACCCGTCGTAATACATCCAGATCTGAGCGCCTTGAGCTAGTAGCTCAAATTCGAAGCTCCACGTGTAGAAGTCTTGTCCGTCGAAGGGCTTGGTAGTTCTGAGTTTCGACGTGGAGAGGAACTTGCTTTGCATTGAAGCCATTGCCTCGTAATGTGTTTGTTGTGCTTGAGCAGATCCTTGAACTCCACGGTTGTCGAAGGTGAAGGATCGCTCAGATCCAGCTCCTTGAGGATCGGGAGGTCTTCGGGCGTAACTCGAGCCGTCAATGCTCATTGGCTGATGGCTCTCCAGTGCGCTGATGCGGGAAATCAGTTGCTCGAGTAGAGCTGTGTCCACGGTCGTCGTAGTAGAGGTGACATTGGTGGAGGGTTGCACTGGATTTTCTCCAGCCTCTCCGTAGTCTGCGCCTGGCATGTTGATGCCCTTGATGTTGTTGATGTTGAGAGTTTTAACTTATGAAGAAGCTTTTCAGAAGCCTCCTTTAGCAGATCCTATAATCCAAACTAGCTCTCATACCATGTTAGAGTAAGGATCTTGGATAGGATAGGATAGTGCTTTTGGTAGAGTTGGTAGCGGAAGTCTTGTAAGAACTCAGATCATAGTGAATGTAGATGACCAAGTTGATTAAAAGATAGAATACAAAGAATATACATAGTCCTAGTCTAGCCATGTATTCTAAGGGGTACATTCCCTTATTATAACTGCTTTACAGGCAATTCTACAGTGACTCTGACTTTTGCGCTTCTTTCTTGTTACCGAGTCGCTGCATGTAACCTGTACGGTTACGCCTGTTGCCATTCCTCGATGGTAGGTCAAGCGTCGGTCCAGATGGTCAACAGTCGCGACAGTTGACTCTTGCGACTGTTGACCTTCCTGCCCTTGATATGGGCTGATCCGATACTGCGGGTGTTGTTGCTTCGATAAGGTCAGGTGCGATACTGCTGCACCTACGGGAATGCTAAGTATAATTCCCTTCACACTCCAACAGTGGGGCATTTGCACGATGTCTCGATTTCGCAAATCCAAGTCTGGGCTGAAATTTGGCTTCACTTAGAGCGTATTCCTATCCTCGTATCAACTGAACCTCATATCAAGATTGAACTTTTTGCCTGGTAAAACTAGCGAGAGGTTTTGGGTTTAGGGGAATTTTCAGTGGGAGGTTGATATGAGGTTCTCTTGATACGAGGATAGGAATACGCTCTTACAACACGAAAAGCACAATGAAACGCATACATCCCAATAGCAACTAAGGATTACGCCTGATCTGACCAAACGAAGTTTTGTTTCAAGAAACTCAAGAGTAAAGCAGAGTCATAAAACATAACATTTGCGTTTGTCAGAGTGATTGTAGGGATGTCATGATCTGATCATCCTGAACCATGTCCTGGCTCATGGTGTGTGCAGCATGGCCTTCCCTCACCGGCTCAGTCTTCCGCCTCTCCCCCTCTTGCTCCCACCGAAACGACCGACCAACAATGCAGTAGAGCGCCAACGAAGGAAAATGCTGGTGCAGAGAATCCAGGGTGCTGGGCTGCCAGTGCCGCGTGGCAAAGAGAATAGAGTGCAGTTTAGGGGCATTGATAATGGGAGGGCTCATTCCTTCATCCTCCAGGCTGCTGCTGCTGCTGCTCTCTCCAATCCCTTGTAGAAAACTACTGAGTTGGTCCTCCCATGAGAGCGTGTGCATCCCTCCACCACCACTTGTCCTGCCGCCACCCACACCAATGGCAAGGCGACGTAGGCAGCTCCATTCTGCAGGCACCTGCTCAAGCGGAAAGCCATGCCTCACTGTCAACATCTCCACCGTTGGCGCTATGCTTCTCAGTAACCATGTCAAGGAAGCTTCGGTAGCAGCCAAAGAATGGGGAGTGATGGAGGGTAGAGAAAAAATGTCATCCAAAGGTGAGGTGGACTGTCTGAGAGTGGTTGGTGCGTTCAAGTAGACCGTTTTGGCAGAAAAAAGTGGCAGCAAATAAACGACAAGATGTGTGCTGCCAACGAGAGTGAGCGAGTCGAGAAAAAGAGGGATGAAGCACTTGCAGTTGATTTCCAATGCATCTGCGGTGGCTGAAAATGCCTTCAAGGAGGGAGGGAGGGAGAAGCTAAGGTTGAGCCTCTGATGCTCAAAACTGATTTTGACGATCCGAGCAGCAGCGAAGTTAAAACTGAGGTTGCACGGGTGACGGCTCCTGGCAGAAAAAGAGAACTCATGCAGCTGTGGTGTGATTGCCGAGAGAAATGTCAGGTCACATCTGTTGCAGTCCGCAAGATCAATGCTGAGACTCCTTAGATCCTTAAACCATGCGGCCTCCAGTATGCCTAGCTTCCAACTCCCACGACCAAGCGTCAGCCTCTGCAGCCGCTGCCTGCATGTCACTTGCTTGCTTGCATCCCCATTCATCCACCCAACCCCCCTTTTGAGGCGCCTCAAAAGTCGTCTCAGTGCTGCCTGCCTGCGTGTCACTTGCTTGCTTGCATCCCAAAATTCCCCAGAAACGCCAGGCTTATCATCTTGTCTTGTTGAATGGTTATGTATCGGTAAGACACATCTTTGAATCTAAGGCACAGGCTCGTGAGGGTATGGGCAGAAGAAAGCCATAAGGCGGAGGCTCTGCAGATCCTGCAAGCTGCTGAAAGTGAGGTCAAGGGACTTGTGACTTGGGAATCTGAGGAACCAAGTGAGCAATTTTGACCATTGGATCTGCTGACTGTCGTATACAAGGGTAATGGGTCCCAGTTCCTGCTCAGACAGGGAAGAATCAGGTCAACACCCAACCTCATAATAGAGGACTTAGCAGCACCAGTTGAGCAAAAGATTAGCAAAGAAAAAAAGAAAAAAAAACAGTGCAAGACTCACGGAGGAGATAATATGGTGAAAAAACCTCTTGCTGGCCATGGCACAGCGCAGCAGAGGCCAGGAGGAGCCGAAGAGCCTCGTGTCCTTCTCATGCTGCTCGCTGGCAGTCCCCTGATTGGTTGTGGCACATGAGGTGCTGCCGGATCCTTGCTGTGATAGGCCCACGGAGTGGCGGAAGATGATGTGCCAGATGTGGCCGGGCAGCAGATCAACCACGTCCAGGCTATGGTGGTTGGGTGAGATGAGCAAAAAACGAGCAAGGGATTTGAGAGAGTGGGGAGAGAGAGGAAGAGAGTAGGAGAGAGAACTCGAAGAGGATGAGATGAGAATCATTAGCGGCTGTCAGAGGCATGACTCGGCACGCACCTCATACTGGTGAGCGTCAGAGGATGCTGTAACATCAAGAGCACGCATCTGCTCCACCACCACATCTCCACGGCTAGCCATAGGCGGTAACAATTAACCAGGAAATGGAATTGACAGGGCTAGATCGATATGCTCGATATGTGAGCGGTGGCCGACACTTCTCCCGCACTTGTTTGGCGTGGAATTTCTGCGGCCAGCAAATTTGGAATATCACTGACGGTTGAGTTTCCTACGCATGGTGAAGAGAACAAATCTCCGTAGAATTCACTGACGGGCCCTGATTCTTTTCTTCCTACTCCGAATCTGCTGATTGTCCCACACGCCGACCGCCGCGTTCTCGCACCATCGTGAAACCCTACCCCCGCTGGTCAGCCATCGTACACTGCGGAACAGCGGCGCAGCGGGCAGACGGAGTGTGTGGGAGCGCGTCACGGCAAGGCAGGGGAAGACGTGGACAAGCCGGTGTGCGTGTGGCGGGAAACTAAAGGCAGTCTTTGGCAGGGGAGCCGCTTTAGCATGGGTCTGAGTAGTCATTTTGATCGAGTCGCGCATGTTGCTAAGATTATCCTAGCTTGACGGTGGGTTTTGAGACCCCTAATTCCGACACGTGACAGCGGCAGCTGTGCCTTGCTCATGATTCACTCATTATACTCATTCGCCGCTACCAGCATTGTGTTTTTTCACTCAAAAACCGAGAGGTACCAGGCGAGGCTCGTCTCAGATTTACCAGCTGCCGATAGCAGCTACAAGTACTAAGCATGCATGGATGAACCCTCGAGTATGTCGAGCAACAAAACCAGCAACAAATGAGCTGCGCTGCGAACGTCGCGATGTCACACCTGGCTGTGTGCGGCAAAGGTTGTGTCAGCATGGCAGATGAGGACTTCGATTCCCTCACCTTTGTGCTGTTTGAACCTCTCGATTTTGCACGACTCCATCCAACATCGTGTGAACCACCATACAAGATCAATCCGCTTTTCATTGTAGTTCATTTGGCTGTTGAATCTGGCCCAAACCTAGAGAATCAAGCAACAAGTGATGCATAATGAGAGCATTTAGTGCTGCATCTAACAATTGAGCTGCACAGCTGAGGTGGCTGCACACATGTCAATCCAGCTTCTAACCTAACTACTGCCCAGAACAGCTTAGACCATGACTTCAAGCAATGGCAGCAATCGGAATCTTCTAAGTGGCTGAAGCTAACTCTAATAGCATTAAAGTGCTCGCTTGTGCCAATGGTGGCCTGGCACCTTTGTCTTGCTCAACTGCCAGGCCCCTAATCCATCAACCTTGCGTTGCCATCTCAGGAGCAATCCAGTTCGATGACGAAAAAGTGGGCATAGACGTGGATGTTGAAGAGGGTTTAGATGAGGATGTGGATGGGTGTGGTGAATGGAACAGCAAGGTGGGGCAAAGAGCAGCCAGGTCGCGGCTCCTCACAGACCGTTGGTTCAGCCACGGGTGCTCCAGCACTTGAAGCGAGCTCAGCCGTTGATCTGGGTTGATGCAGAGCATTCGACGGATGAGATCTTTCGCTGCAGCGGAGATGGATTTCCAGCCTGGAGACTCGAAGTCAATGTGCAGACTACTGTTCATGTCCACCGGTGCAAGGCTGGGATCTGGGGGACAAAGGTGAGCGGATGTGACTGTATGGAGAGTGGCACTTGTGAATGCAGGGCCAGCGCCAATGTAGCTGTGTGCAGCATGTGCCATGGGTGCAGAGGTCGCCTGGGTTTGATTGGTCTGGGACTGAGATGCCATAACATGCTGCTGCTCCTGCTGTCGGTGATAATTTTGGTTCATCCGTTGCTCCCCCTCATGCAATGCTGTCTGCTGCGAATACTGATATTGACCTGCCCACATCTGCCACCCTCCCTGCTCTCCCTGCTGCTTCCCCACCTCCTCCCCCACACCAGCCTCCCTCCGTTGCCACTGCTGCTTCTGCTGCTGCTGCCACTGCTGCTGCCACTCCACATGCTGCTGCTGCTGCTGCTGCTGCTGTTGCTGTTGCTGCTGCTGCTGCTCCAACTGCTGCTGCTGCGCATGCAGCATGGCCAGCAGCTTACCCGGTTTGACAATGGGCAGGCGGCCTGTGAGCATGGAGCAGAGGGTGATGCCCATGCTCCACACATCCGCCTTCATGCCATAGCTGCACCCTGCTTCCCCAGAGAACCCAGCATCCCCTGCACACCCAGCACCCCCTGCACCCCCACCATCACCCTCGCCCTGAATCGCATCTCCCTTCCCCCCCGCCTCTCCCCCTCCCCCCTTCCGCCGCTCCCTGGCCATTTTCCGCCGCACCTCCAGCAGGAGTATCTCGGGCGCCATGTACTGCCGCGTCCCCGCGCCCCTGTCCGCCATCGCCCCGCGCATGCCCCCCGCCACCACGGTGGACAGCGCAAAGTCCGCCAGCTTCACCCCCCAGATGCCCCTCTCCGCGCCCACGTGAGCCCACCCCGCGCCCATGGCGGAAAACGAGCTACTTTCCGCGAAAGCGGGCGGGAGGGGGCACCGCCTTTCCCCAAACTCTCCCCCTGTCGTGATTGTAAGACAGCAGGGTGTGGAGGGTGCGGGTGATAGTGAGTGTGACACAATCGAGGGCGAGCGGAGGACAGAGGTTGGGGAGGGCGTAGGCGCAAAGGGGATAGAACTGGCTGAAGAAAGCGAGGGGAAAGCGGAGGAGCTTGAGAAGTGCGCGGATTGCGCAGCCAGCGCAGCGCCTAGAGTCCCCTCCGCCTCCTCCCCCGCCATGGGATGCACGCGCGTGCTCTTCCCCGCGAACCGCCTCCCCACAACCTTCCCGGGAACGACCCGCACGGGATTGTTGGCGCCCCTCCCCTGCGCGCCGACCCCGTCGGAACTCGCGCCTCTGCCCGCCGCGGAGGGGAACAGCCGCGCGCCGATGAGCCACCCCCACAACCCCTCCTCCGCGCGAGGCTCCCGCGCGGCCTTCCTTCCCCCGCTCGCTGGCGGTAACGCGGCACTGCTCGCTCCAGCAGCCGCGGCGGATGCGGCATTGATTACAGCCTTAGAAGGCGTAGGACCACGTGGCTGTTCTAAGCTTGGCGGGTTAGCTGTTCCTCCCGTCTGCGTCGCAGATGGGTAAGCTCCAGATGTTCCTAAACATACTCCTCCAGATGCTCCTCCTGCGAAGGCTGCTGCTCCTACCGTCTGCCTCGCAGTTCTCTCCGTCGCTACGCTCATCGCCGCTACGCTCGTCGCACATCCTGTCGCATGCTCCGTCATAATGCGAGGCCCGCCGCGGGCGGAATCAGGAGGCCGCAGCAGAAGCACGTTATCCGGCTTGATATCCCGATGCATGACCCCCGACGCGTGGCAGTACGCGACAGCGGATGCGAGCTGCCGGAACAAAGCCGACGCGAGCGGCTCGGCAAGCGGGCCGCGCTGCAGAATCTCCGTCAGGAGATCATCGCCCGGGACCAGCTCCATCAGCACGTGCACGCTCGCGTCAACGGAGGGATCCAACGGTTGAGATGACGCGGGTGGGATCGGAGCCGCGGATGAGTTAACAGGTTTACACGAGTTATCTACCTCCGCTGCTTTACCTGCCCTTACACCTGCTCCTATCTCCGCGACTCGGCCTGCTGCCCCGGATGCTCGGCTGCTTCCTTGTCGCCCAACGATCACGTCGTGCAGTCGCACGATGTTCGGATGGTCGCCCACGATCTCCAGCGATCGCACCTCCGCCGCGATGTCGCGCATCGGGGCCTGCGCCATCGCGTAACTCTTGCATGCGACCCGCTGCGACGTTACAACGTCTTCGCATTCCCACACGACAGCCTGCGACCCCGCGCCGACGCGACGGATGCGACGGTATCTCCCACCAATCAGCTCCTCGCCCGAAACGTTGCTGCTGCATTTCTCTCCCGCGCTGCTTTCGCGTTGCGAAAACAACGACCCATCAGCGACAGAGTCGGCGCGCCGTGAACCGCCGATCGCAGAAGGAGCAAGCGGCGCTGGAGCGCGCCCAAAGTCCAAGATGCCCTCCGTGTGCCATGCGCTATGCGGTTCAGAGGGGGGCTGCGACTCCGCGAGGGTCATGGGGACGGAGCGCACCTCCTTTGGCGCCTCTGACTGGCGCAAACTGCGGGATATGGAGAGATACGACAGCGCTGTGGAGAACAAAGTTTTATTCGTCGATGTGATCTCTCGCGCCCGTCTGTCTCCTCGCTGCCTACGAGAGTGACTCCCCAAAAAGACTCGCTGCCTATCCTGCTTCGTGCGTTGCGTCTGTTCCTGATGTTCTCCCGTATGTTCCGCCGTCCGCTCCTTCTGTCCCGTCTGTTCCGCCGTTTGCTCCTTCCGTCCCGTCGGTTCCGCCCTCTGTTCTTTCTGCTCCGTCTGTTCCGCCGTTCGTTCCGTCTGATCTCTACGTTCTGTATGCTCACCCTCTGTTCACCCTGTTTGCCTGCCCGGCCAATCCTGGCAGCTATTGCTGCTCAGCCTCTTGACCTTATAAAGTTCAATCGTGGCATCACGTGGACTACCTCTGCTACACGCGCACACCGATAAATCAAACAATCTCAAGTTCCTACCACGCATAATCGTCTCCCTAAACTCTAAGCTGTCACAGTCTTGGCTATCTCAATGAAGGGGACATATTCGGATAGCAGCGACGGTAGCGACGGCACGAAAGCGATCTTTGCCTCCGACGGCAAAGAACGAAAGCAAGAGTAGCCGGAGACTCATATCCTAGTAAAACGGATGGAATGACTTCCCGTCCAGCTGTCTGATAATAATGGCAGTGGATGAAGCTTTTCCCAGCCCTGGGTTTCACCAAGCAAGGGGCGACGGCAGCCGCAAGTGCCCAAAAACAAAATATCCCTGAAAAGGACAGCAGAGTGGTGCGCCGACAATTATAAGTCAAGGCGCGTGCGCCCTGACTTTCTAGTCCGAGGGTGACTGAAAAAGGAGTTGTGCTGTTGGGAAGGGAGGGATGGGGGGGCGGTGGAAATGGGGAGGGGAAGAGACTACTTATGAAGTTGGTGTAGTGATTCTCTCGCCAAAGTAGCGAAGCGCGCAGGAGACAGGCGACCTCAATGTGAGACCAGAAAGCGACAGTTTATGCCTTGAGGTAGGTACCCGTGTCCGGGCAGCTCATAAAGGCTGGTACCAAGCCAGGACGCGTAGGAATCTGTTGCGACAGATTGTTGCTAGGCACTAGTTGTGCCTACATCCAGCTTTTCTACATTGTCAAGTGTTTCCCCAAAAATGAATTCTGGAACAGGGTGACATCAGACCATAAACGTTTCCAGCACGATATCGCACAATGTGGCTCTGGCGGCTCGGATGTTTTCCCAGTTCGCGACAAAATGCGGACATGGGTGCGTGCGACGCTCGTCCAGCATGTGTCGCGAAAAAACCAGGGTAAGTTGGCAGAAGAAAATGATGGACCGAAGACCGCAAACGGCGGCGCATCAGTGCAGGTGTTCGCGAATGTGGCACAAACGAAAGCTCTGATGCTTACCGATTTCGTTATAACTTCACGACAGCAAGATACAAGCTGACTGCCTATCATATGTTGGCGGTTTTTCAGGTTTGGATCTTTGATATGGTAGAAACTAATAATGAAGTAATGACAAACTCTAAACGCAGTAATTTACTATAAAATCTACAACCACTATGTTAATTTTGTTTAATCATGATTACTTCTCAACAATGTGGTGATGATGCAGGTGGTGTGATGTGATGTTTAGAAATACTAATATATGCAGTTCGGCTAAAACATTCTTATATGTTTACCGAGTCTCACCATGATCTCGTTAATCAATCGAACGTCGTCCTTGGGTTGACGTCGCGGGGTAGGTGCGCCAATAATTTCGCGCATCAATAATTCCCCACTCCAGTTGCAGCTGGAGGGTCCCCATGATTGTTTTCTGGGCAGAACAACGCATTACATATACAAGCTTTTGAGCCCTCCGGTGTAGGTATGAGCCTGCTGGCATGCGGTGTACGGTTTCGCAGATCCAATATCCCTTGGCAACATCGGGCAGCTTCAGCTGTGCCCTGAATTGGGTTGCGACTCGACGAACGCGCATTTTGAATCTCATCCACCTTGCTATCACTCCCATTCATTCTTTGCTCTCCATAGCCTAGTCATCCTACCCGTCTCTCTCTCTCTTGTTCTGTTTCCACAAGAGCTCCTACCACTTCCTTTCAAGTTCCTGGGACTCAACTTTCGTGTCGCGCCTGTGCAACCATTATTCCGCCAAGCATCTCGTGCGACTACCTCGTCCAGCTTCCTGAAGATCCGCTTGCTCGATAATTGTCAGCCCTCGGCTCTTTGAGAAGTCAATCACACTTCTCTCCTTTCCAGCAAGGCGTTGAAGTACGGCGATTTCCTGCTGACTTCCACGGCGAGTTGCCAAGGATAAACACGCGGAAGCACCTCAAGGTGCCCGCAACTTTCGCTTATTCAAGATCTTCTCACTTTCCTCCTAGAAGTTGTTTCGTTGCCTGGGGCTTCTACCGAATTCTTAACACAACTGTTCATTCTCTAGACAAGCACACGTGACATTGAATCTCCATCACATCGGGGAACCGCAACCGCGGCGCGAGAAAAATCTTAACCGACCATGAGCCCCGCGCCGCCGGGGCCGGAGGGCAGTCCCGCGGGGAGCCCGACCGCCGACACGACAATGAGCGACCTGATTGGCGGGCGGTACCGCCGCATCCGGAAACTGGGCAAGGGCTCGCAGGGCAGCGTGTGGGAGTGCGAGGACGTCACCGCACCCCCAGGCGCGCCGCGCGTGGCGTGCAAGACTTTTCCCCTGTCGCACTCCGCCATCATCGACATCCGCGCAGAGGTGCGCGCGCTCGAGATGGTGGGGGACCATCCCAACGTCGTGCGCCTCGTGGATTTCATCGTCGACGCTGCCGCGGCGGAGGTGCATGTAATGATGGAGCTTGTACCGGGCGGCGATCTTCTATCGGAGGTGATGCAACGCGGTCCGCTGGCGGAGCCGCTCGCCGCCACGGTTTTCCGGCAGATTGCGTCGGCCGTCGCGTACTGCCACGCGTCGGGTGTGATGCATCGGGATATCAAGCCGGACAATGTGCTGCTTGTTCGCCCGCCGGAAAACGCGCCGGAAATTGCGCACGCGGTGGAGCGTGCGACGGCACGTGCGACGGGAGATGCTGGAGACGGAAAATCCCGGGCGAAGAAGCGACAGCCGCTGGGCGACATTACGAATCTCCCCCGTGCGACTGCTGCGACGAATTCATCCAAGCTACCGGGGGCGATCAAAACCGTCGCAGCTCCTCCCGGCGCACCCGAAAAGGCCCAGCACGCGCCGTCCTGGAGCGCATATCTTCCCCCATCAATCGCGGCGACGCACGTGGGAGCGGGACGGCGAATCTGGGGAGTGAAGCTCGCGGACTTCGCGCTGTCAACGGTCGTTAAAGGCGGACTCAACGGGAAGAAGGCGGATCTCGGAGCGGGCACGCGGCAGTACATGGCGCCGGAGATGGACCAGGCGGCCGCCGCCGCCGCCGCCGCCGCATCCGCTGGCGCTGCTGCTGCCGCCGCTGGAGGGACCGGCGTTGCCCGATGTGACAGTAGCGGGGGATCGTACGGGTTGAAGGCTGACGTGTGGAGCCTCGGAATCACGCTGTGCGCTATCCTAACGGGGCGACTTCCGGCCGTCGATTCGGCGACGCTCGCGCTTCACGATTCGCTGCCGATCAACTTCGTGTCGCCCAGCTGGAAAGGCATCTCCGCCGACGCGAAGAATCTCGTCCGCCGGATGCTGCGCGTGAACCCGGATCAACGGCTGAGCTCGTTCGAGGTGCTGGAGCATCCATGGCTGAACCAGAAGGCGGTGCGGCGGCTCGACATCACGGCGCGCTGCCCTTCGCTTCTCTTCTCCGCGTCTCTCCTCGCGCCGCCCTTTCAACCCGCCGCGTGTCGCCTCATGGCGAGCGCGGGCGGAGCGGTGGGCGCCGCGGGGGCTTTTGACACGGCGCAGAAGGCGCGGGCGGCCTGATGATGGGCGGGGGGAGGTTGGGGGCGGGGATTGTTGGGATGATTGGCGCCAGGGGAAACGGTGAGCGCGGAAAAGAATGGCGTGGGGGAAACGTTGCCCACGACGGTGTAAGAATCATGGAAAACAGCGAAGGGAGAGGGTGGCGGGACGTCCGTAAGGCACTAGTGCGTGGGTCAAGCGCAGCTCAAGTCGAGAAGAGCGGGTGTCTGGCTGGCGAGTTGCCGGGGTGAGGAGGAGGACTCGCCTAGCGTCTCTGCAGGCCGCAGCAACTGTCGGATGTCGAGTATGTGATACGGCGAGAGGCGATTGTGGGTACAATACTTGTCACGTTGGCACTGCTGGTGCCGAGACAGATCGAGAGATTGTGGAGAATAAAGGAATAAGCGGATGCTTCTTTGCAATGGTGAAAGCAGCCTCTATCTTGGTGACTTGGAGGAAGGTGGAGTTACATTGGAGGAAGTGGGAGGTATGGGGTCTTGGGGGAGTCCGGGCTTCATGAATAAAGGCAGGGATTGGGGATCCTAGGTGTAGAGGGTGAGAGGGTGTGATAGCCGGTAGAGGAGAGTGTAAGTGGTAGACATTTTCAAGGGGATCCTGCCTCTAGCTATTGTAGTCTTACAGGTATCTTTTCTTCTGTCTTCTTTTGTCTTCTCTTTCTTGCTCTTGTTTTTCCTTCTCTGACCCTCTTTCCTTGTTCACGCTACCACAAAATAACCAAACAAGACCAACCCCCTCCCCACCGCCCCACCCCCCCTTACCCTCCAGTTCACTCCATTTTCCACCCTATGTAGTATCAATCTCTTTTCGCTTCTCTCCCACTGCAACAGCTGCTCTCGTCTTCCCTGTCAGTGCCCCTCCCCCCGTTTTCCTCCTCTCCACTATCCCACCAAATATCTCAATGGAAATATAGCTACAAAACACAGAAATGTTACATACTCCTGAATGCCCACAGAAGCCCCCTATCGAAGGTTGTGCCTATAATTTCGTTCTCATTGTGGCATAATTCAAGATTGAATAAGAGATAGGAATGTATTAGCCAGAACCGAGTGAAGTTGTTAAAATATCATCCAATTTCTAGGAATGATTGTAATTTCTGTGCGTACACGCAGAGAAAACAATTGAATGAAATCAAGATATACAGATAGGTTTTGCCCGCAGCGTTTACCCGTTTCAGGCAGCTTCGATATGGGACCCTGTTATTCGCATTCCTTACCCGATTTGAGTGTTGCTTCGCAGATTTCGTGCTAGAAACGCCATCGCCGAGCGTGTGAAGCAAGTCTTTCGGAAGAAGGCAGCCAATCCTTAGCTGGCCGTGAAAGTGTTGCTTGTTGGGCCCTAGTTTGTACTACTCGACATACTCAAGGGTAGCAAGACGCCATGAATATGTCAACAATACTGCCATGCATACATGCGTGGGTACGTTGCCAGGTGGTATTGCTGCTAGCGGCGAAACCATTGCGTGGCAGGACAAGTGAATCATGCTGCTGCTGCTGCCACGTGTCAGAATTAGGGGTCTCCAAACCCACCAACAATCTAGGATAATCTTAGCTGAAGACTCATGCTATGTTCTTCACTCTAAAGCGGTTCCCCCAAAGACTGCCTCTGGTTTTCGCGCTCCCACACACTCGGTCTGCCCGCCGCGCCGCTGTGCAGATGGCTGACCAGCGAGGGTAGGGCTCCACAATGGTTCGAGAACGCGGTGAACGCGGCGAGTGGCGTGTGCGACGCCAGCAGATTTGGAGTATGAGGAAACGTCTCAGGGCCCGTCGGAGAATCTTCAGTTTCCACTTCACCATGCGAAGGAAACTTAAACGTCAGTGATATTCCAAACCTGCTGGCCCGCTAAACACTGCTTAAAGTGGCACTTGCGGGAGAAGTTTTAGCCACCATTCAAAATCCGGACATATCGATCTAGCCTTGTCGATTCCATTTCCTGGTAGATTGTTGCCGACCATGGCTAGCCATGGGGATGTGGTGGTGAGGAGGATGCATGCTCTTGAACTTACACCCGCCTCTGATGCTCACCAGTCTGAGGTGCGTGCGAGCGATGTCTCTTAACAGCCACTCTGGCGCGAGCGCACACGCACACCCACTCTCACTCTCCATCACTCGTCTTCAATACTTCCCTTCCACCCACCCACCAGAGCGTGGACGTGGTTGATCTGCTGCCCGGCCCCATCTGGCACATCATCTTCCGCCACCTGCTGCTGCCGCCAGCAGCTAAACACTATGCCAAGAAACATAAAAAGAAGACGAAGCGCTTCGGCCCCTCCTGGCCTCTGCTGCGCTGTGCCATGGCCAGCAAGAGGCTCCTCCACCATGTCATCTCCTTATCCGTGAGTTGCTGGGTGCTCCTCAATTCCAACCGCCTACTTCTCCTCTGCCATGTTACGTCCATCTCCGTGAGTCGTCATGTGCTGTTTCTGCATTCTACCGCTCAACGTCTTCTGGTCCGGTTTTCATGCCATGAACATTCTGCTCTGGTACGACCATCTGCCAGGGTCACAACATGGAGAAACTTCTCTGACTGGCTGTTTTGTCACTGTATGAGCAGGAGTTAGAGCCCATCTCCCTCGTATGCACCACTCACAAGCTTCAGTGGACGCTCTCCTGGTTCTTCAAACAGCCGGGTCACAAGTCCCTTGACATTGATTTTTACAGCTGGAAGGACCTGCACATCCTCAGCCATCTTAGTGCATCCTCTGCTCACTCCCTTACAAGCCTGAGCATTGGGACCCACGAATTCTTCGACAACGATGAAATCATCCACACCATCTCTCCATGGTTTCTTAAAACATTTGGGCAGCTACAGCTACTGAAGCTGAGCCATGGTGGGTGGGCATTTGGGAGTCGGGGATTGGGCAACATGTCTGCTTCATCGTTCAGGGCGTTAAGGAGTCTCAGCATCGGCCATTTGAACTGCAACCCGCTCGTCATTACCTTTCTGTCCTCCATTTCACCACAGCTGCATGAGCTCTCTCTAACCTCCAGCAGCCTTGGCGATATCATTCTCGATTTTGAGTTCTCTGTTGCTCGAGTCATTACCATCAAATTCAAGAACCAAAGGCTCAGGATCCATTTCTCTCTCCCACCGACTTTGAATACCTTTTTTTCTTGGAGCAAGGTTGCTTGAAGTCGACTGCAAATGCGACAACCCTCTCTCTCTCGAGTCTCTCACTTTGGTTGGCAGCGAACAGCTTGTCGTTTCTTCGCTCCCACTGGCTTCCGCTAAAACTGTTTACTTGATTGGGCCAAATACAAAAAACGTCTGCTGGTCTGCCAGTACTGAAGCCGACACTACATCTGCCTTGACTCAATTACTCACCAGCATTGCGCCAACAGTGGAGATGCTTGTATTGAGGCATGGCTTTCCGCTGGAGGACGTGCATGTGGAGTGGAGCCGCCTGCGCCGCCTTGCCATTGGTGTGAACGGCATGAGTACCAGACAGTACATGGGCAGCACTCATGGTTGCATGTCGACAGTGGAGGATGCAGAAGGTTCTTACTTGCTAAATAGGGGCAGTAGCTGTGAAGCGATAACCCCTCCCTTCATCAATGCTCCTAAGCTGGGATCTATATTCCTTGCCACTCGGCTGTGGGAGCCCAGGCTGCTGGTTTCTCTGCGCAGACACTTTCCTTCTCTGCTGCTTTACCGCATTGTTGGTCTGTCATTTCAGTGGGAACAGGAGGGGGAGAGGCGGAGCAAGGAGCCTGTGATTCAGGTGAGGCCAAAACATGGTGCGAATAGCCTTATCCAGAGGGACCTGGAGCAGGATGATGGGATAATGAGGTTCGTTCAATGCCTCTGGAGCTACTTCATGTTTTGAGAGATTTTGGTAGATAAGTGAGTGAGGGATTAAAACCTAGTTATTCAGGGGATAGCGTGTGCTGGAGAAGAGCAGATTACACCCTTTTTGTGATGCATTGTACACATTTAATTCCAGCACATGCTGTTAGGTATGCTGGCTGAATGAGAAATCCCCAACTGCAGCAACTTCTTGCAAATGTTCATTTATGTGTTAACTACTGTAAATCGCTACTAATGTAGTATCCGACCTTCCACCGATTCTCTTCAAGGTTCCAAGCTCGAGGGTCCAAGGCTCTAATGAACGAAAATCTGAGACGAGCCGGTCAGCTGGTACGATGCCGGGAAGTATGCTGCTAGAGGCAAAACCATTGCGTGGCTGGATGAGAAGTATCATGAGTATGGCACAGCTGCTGGTGCCCCGCGTAAGAATGAGTCTGGAAACCCACTGCTAAGCTAGGGTAGTCAAAGCACATGCTCATTGCGACAGGCTAATTAAATTGATAAAAAATGACGACTTCATCCCCCGTTTCGATTTGGATGCGCCTCGTTCAGAGGAGCTGCCTCTGGTTTTTGCCAGACACCCACTTGCCTCTCGCCTTGTCCACGCCTTCCCCGCCCTTGCCCTGTCGCGCTCCGACACATCCCACACATTCCTGTCCTGCCCGCCGTGCAGCTGTGCCGCTGCGCACGATGGCGGACAGTGATATTAGGGCTTGACGGTGGTGCGACAACGGCGAGCGGCGTGCCAAGACGACCAGCATGTTTGTAATTATCAAGGAACGTCATCGGCAGTGCACGGTACGCTTAGGCGAGAACGGTACACTTGCGTAGGATTTCCAGTGTTCGCTTCACCATTCTTCAAAAGCCTTAACAACTACTGGTTTGATAGTCTTCTGGTGGTCTCACGCCGCAACAACTTCACGGTTGGCTACGGTTGGCACTCGCGGGGAGGTTTCAGTCACTGAAACTTGAGCATAACTTGGTCGTTCCTAGTCTATTCACTGCTTTCCACACGGTTTTTAGACGGCTTGAAACTTGAGCATAACTTGGTCGTTCCTAGCTAGCCCAGTCGATTCCATCTCGTGGCTGATTCTCAGCCGCCGATGGCTAGCCATTGGGATGCGGAGGTGGAGCAGATGCACGCTCTCACGGTTACTTCATCCTCTCATGCGCACCAGTATGAGGTGTGTGC